TATAGATGGACAGAATRCCTTTATTTTATTTATTTTTATGTGGTGCTAAGGATCAAACCCATGCTAGGCAAGCACTCTGCCAGTGAGMTACAGCCCCAGCCCAAGGAAGAGTTTTTATTGATAAAAATTAAATCTTCTTTTAGATTTAAAATAATACTGGTGGAACTGGTATAACAAAGCATTCCTTATTCATAGCATTTTTGACTAGGTGTTTGCCTGTAATATAAATAAAATATAAGTAAATCCAAGAAAAGTATCCAATTAGCATCTTTAAATTTTGTATCTCATATAAAAATCTTTTTCTTATTTAATTAATTGAAGTCAGAAAATGGAACTTCATATTTTACCATAAAACTTAAGAATTTTAAATGTATTTTCTTTCTCATCAAAGATGAATGAAAATTGGTAAAGTGCTTGCTTTGCATGCACAAGGCCATGGGTTCAATCCCCAGCACCCCACCCCCCACACACAAGATGAATGAAAATCATAATCAAGTTTTCTGCTTTTGAGAAGAAGTCTTGGTCAAATATTAATAAGCTTATTTTATAAAAAAAATCATCCAAATTTTTATAGGCATGAGTATATATATTTATTTTAAGGTGATCTATAACTGAGAGGGAGCACATATATGCTTTTATCAGAAATGATAAAGACATGGTTTGGAGAACTGTTACTACAAAGTTGCAGAAGGCCTGGCTTTCACATATTCTGAACTTGAAGACATTGCCTCATTTGGAGTGAGCATAGATGAGTTGGTCCTCCTTGGGGAGACAGAATCTAGTAAATCTATAGAGTTACCAGCCAAACTTAAAGGCATTTAGAGACAACTGTTTTGTATGTGAATAATGAATTGCTAGAGTAAAGATGTATTCATGTCATCATTTTATTCCTGTATAAGTTTCAAGTACATGAACAGGTAGTCAATTGGGACATAAGGGAGTAGTTTGAATTGAAGTAGCCTGTGGGAAAGACTTTATAAGTCATCGAATATTGAGTCATTGACTATTTGTAGTGGAGGGAAGAGAGGTGAGAGGAAAGAAAGAGCAAAGATATGAGAGAGGCAGGCAATTGTTTATAAGCCTACAGATTGTTARAGGAAGCGTGGAAGGAAAATTATTAGGTTCACTAGGAGAGACTGGGAATGGAAGCAGAAAAGGGACATACAAAGATCAAGGCCTTTAGGGTGGGAGAGTTCTCAGAGATGATRGGCTTCCAGGTGACTGGAGTGGATCACARTTTGCACTTGTTTCCCACTGAGAAGTTCAAAGACAGTGGGATTGCAGATGGAGGGCTGTGAGTTTTATCTTGGTTACTAAGGGTCTTTAATTGAACCTGGAAATGTGTCTTGGAGGTCATCTGATGGTGGTGATCAAGATGTAGGAAAATGCATAAATGAGCAAGTACGCTGCAAAAGAGGATGCTGAGAGTGGAGGGCACTTGTTTGGAAGCAGCAGTGAGGGTATGTAAGGCTGACTCCTCCAGCCAACTGAATTAAGAGAAGTGGGAGTGAGTGGCTTCTACTTGAGAGAAGACTGTGAGTGACTATCAAATAGGAAAGTTAGGATGTCCAATGTGGATAGGAGAAAGCACATCCCTTTTTGGTTCTTTAAAAAATTATTAACACACTCTCAATGTGTAACAGCTATGTTGTAAGTCACATTGGACATTGGGAGTTTAGAGATTTTAAACAACAAGCTATCATGAAAAATGGGTGAACTTTGACTTTAGCTGGGGTTAATTTTCCCAGCTGCTATTATCTGCTGCTCTGTGGCTCTGTGAAATTTCTCAACATCCCTGAGTCTGTTTCCTCATGTATAAAATAAGAAGACCAATAACTTGTAGAGTTATTGTAAGGATAAAAATATTGTGTAATTATATTGTCTATCAAAATGCTACCTCATAGTTTCTATTACAGTAGTCCATCCTTATCTGTGGTTTAACTTTCTGTGGTTTTGTTTACCAATGGTTGGTAGCAGTTTGCAAATATTAAATAAAAAATTATAGAAATAAACAATTCATAAGTTTTAAATGACACATCATTTTGAGTACCATAAGTGAGACCTCACACCATCTCACTTCCAGCTGCCCAAGATGCAAATCATCTCTTTGTTCTGCATATCCATACTGAACACAGTACCTGCCCACTAATCAGAGATTGAGTGTTGTGGTATCTAAATGCTTACATATAGGATTTGGCACGCTCTAAGGTTTCAGGCATCTATTGGAGTTTTGAACATGTCCCCAGTATATAAGGGGGAACTATTGTATTATTTTCATTGTTATTTTGGTTACTAATGTTATAATATACTTGAGCAGATGAACATACATAACCAACAATGAATTGGAAGAAAGCCCAAGTTTAAACAATACTTGACGACTTTATAAGCTTTGGAACTCTGGGTTAAGTTGAYTGCGCTACCCAGGCCAATACACATTAACACACTGCAGCCTGGAAGGCCCAGTGTCCATCTTGGAAGCATGTTGTAGTAGATGAAGCAATTACACCATAAATTAGAGAAATCATCTATTTGGGCTTCAGACTGTTTATTTGTTGGGACAATAGACCTCTACCTCCTATTGGGTTGTGAAGATTGCAAGAGATTGTGTAAGAGAGATTTCTTTGATAGCTGTGAAGGGTGTATCCACAGAGGGTGTTATGTTTATGAACACTGGGCAGAATTTCTAGTGACTGCTGTTTCCACCATCCTGATAAGACACTGTTGCAATAGCTCTGCAAAGGAGTAATAAACCCAAGAGGAAATAAAGGAAAACAAAACAAGCCAAACAATAACAAAATAAAAAGAAAAAATGTTTCACCTTATAATTGAAATATTTGTGAATCATCAGAAAGACAAATTTTTGTAGCTCTGTGGAGAGAGCTTATCTGGTAACTTCCAGTGTTATCTAGTCAGTCACTAGAGAACATTTTTCTTAGCAACCAATATTGTAATATGATGAGATGTGATATTTTTCTCAGACATTCTTGGATTCTTAAAAGGAAAAAGCAACTTCCATTTTTTATTTGGAAGACTATCAGGAAATGGATTTCTTGGCCACTGTTATTTCTATGCAGACTTCTATGGCTTTTCTCTGTAACCACCCAGCTGTTTCTAGCACATAGCCATCCCAATGCCCCCACCAGACTCTGAACTGCTGTTGTATGGTTGAAGCAGGTTCTTCTGCTCATTGAACTCAGTTCTCAGTTTTATTTGGTTTTCAAATGATGGATTTCATCTAAAGTTTTTTTTTGATAGTAAAAGTAATAATTGTAATATTATTATGATAGTAATAATAGGTAAAAGTGAATAAGTGGAAGGGATTGGTTCCCCAGAAAAATAACACCCATTTGAGACCAGATGAAGAGATTAACATCCATAATAATGCTTGATGTACAGTGAATGTAACCATGTGCCAGGTGCTGTTCTTGAATCTTGACATGTTTCAACCTGAGTAGAATCCTCAGTACATTACAAGTTTCTTGCTCTTACTGCCGTATTTTGTGCTGATAGCCCAAGTATCCTTACTCTTAGGGGACATGTATCCTCAAATTTTTAGGCTTATTTTAAGGAGAATCATGAAGTTGGTCACCTTTCATTCTTGTGGTCTTGTTGATAGCATCAAAGGCTGGAGGAATTTTTTTAAAAAAGTATATATATTTAAGGAGTACGACAGGATGTTTTAAAATACATATTCATGCTGAAAGGCTTACTACAGTCAAACAAATTATCATATCCACTTATGGAAAAATTTTTATGGGCAGATTTGTGGAAACTTGTTAACTTCCTCCTGTGGGTTGTATTCTCATGTCTATGTCTCTACTGGAACTTTCTCCTAGTTTTTTAAAATCTCTTGATGAGGCGTTAGAAATAAATTGCTCTCCCTTTGACTTTAGAGACTGATTTTGGGTGACAATCATATAACAATAAAGGGAACAATGATATTATGGTCATCAAGAGGCAGGAGGCTTGGGTTGCTAGTAGTGTGTATAATGACTATGAATTTACTGTTACTTATAAAGTACGCTAAAGAGGAAYTTTTCATTATGAAACTAGCATGATAGATTTTGAGATTCTTAAATCTGTCTTTGCAGAATTATTCTGTTCTAATTTGTTGAAATGTGACACTGAAACTTTCATTTATAAATGTGGTACTGACATTGTAACTGAATTTTTATGAGTCTTCCTCTTTATTTAAGATTGTTTAAAAGGGATGATTACTTTTTTAAGTTTTCTAAAATTTATTTTCTTTGACCAAATTTATGATTTTTTTAAAAAAAACATAAGATTAAAAAATATTGTATTTCTAGAGCTAGAACAGAGGTGTATTCTTATTTTGTCAAATATTTTAGCCAAATAAAGAGCCAAATAAGGGATGTGATCCTTCTGTAAGCTCTTAGAGACAAGGGTAATAAATAGTACACTCTCAATTCAGTCACTACTGGAACATTCTTGATATTTTTTCAATAATAAGAATTGATATTTTTGTATTATACAACTTAGAAATATTAAATCACCATTCCAAATGCCCTTTATTGAGATATGCCATATGAGACAAATGCTGTGGTGTTTTTACTGGAAAGCTGCAATATTCCAGTGATGGCTGGGCAGTTATTAGGTGACTTGAGGGAAATGGGGTAGCGTAGTCCTCAGCTTCYATGTTGATCAGACAAGAGCCCAGCTGCCAGGGGAGTTGGGCARGAAGCTTGGCCCAGGGGAAGTATCCTGGCCTCTTGGGCACAGCTCTATTACCCTCTGGGCCTGTCTGTTGTCTTCCCTTAGTCACGCTTCATGCTAACATGAGAGGAAAATGCCCTCACTGGAACGTTAGAACATGAAGGGCTTTTACAAGTGTCATTTCTGACAGCTTCTGAAAGGGCTTTTCAGCTGTCACTAGAACCCTGCTGGGTTAAACATATTTCTTAACATGTGGAGGAATGGTGAGGCTTACAGCCTCTGCTTGCTACTCTGTGCTGCTCCTGGACCTGTTTTCTGCTTGGCTTGCCAGTATTCTAATCCTGTGGGGCTCGCAGCTGCCGCACACTCATACCAGTTTCAATTTGRTGTTTCCAAGCTCTGGAAGATTTCGCCACTTCTGCTAGAAGTTCTCCYAGTTGTTACCACCTGGATGGCTTCCAGTTCAGAGGAAAAGCTGGAGAGACCGCCCTCCTTCTCTTAAGTATGAGCTGTAAGTTTGTGGAGGACAGCTGTGTTAACTGCTTGAGCCATGTCACTGCAGAGGCTGTGCAGAGGAACACTTAGGGTCACTCCCCATGTTTTTCTAGTCCCCTCTGTTGCTTCTTGCCAAAAGAGTATCTGSGTTAACTTCAATTTCCTATTAAGCAGGAGATCTTTCCTTTGTAGGACTACAGTATAAACTGGTGATGATCAGTCTTGACATTTAATTCCAGTAGCTTTTYAAAAGGGATCTACCTCGTGTATTCAAGTGAAGCCTTCAGTTTCTTGCTGTTTCCAATCTGTAAATATGGGTTCCAAATTTGTCAGGGTAAAGTGTATCTCCCAGGAGTCATGTGGATTTTTGCAAACATTTTCTCATTTAATCCTGGCAAAAGCCCTATGATCTAGTTACTTTACTCCTGTTTTAAAAATAGAGACAGTTCAGAGGACTAAGTATCATACCCTGATACAAATTTGTAAGTGATAGAAATAGTTTCAAAATCAACTTAGTCTAATTCCAAAGCCAGTGTTCCTTCACTTGAATATACTTATTCCATGATCAGTTCATACCTTTAAAAACATATAAATGTCTTAATATTCATATGTGAAGGCTATTTACCTGTCTTGTTATATTCTGCCAAAACCATGCCAAAATTATTATCTAGTTTATAAGATGTGATAAATATGTTTTCTTATTTGTGCCAAATGAGAGCTATACCTTAATATTACACATGCCTTTTGATGCTATGAAATGATACCAAAACCTGTGCCTACATGTGGCATTTTCAGAAAAGTTCTGCTTTCAAAGTAGATTTCTAATCTATACCTTGCTGAATATTTAAGATAAGTCAGCATTTTCTGAAAGGGTACAAGCAAGAAAGGACATTTTGGTAGAGGCTTGGACATGTATGTTGGTATCTTCTAGAAGACTTGTAGAGTACTAGCAAGTTCTGGATCTGGATCAGAAAAGGAGGCCAGAGAGCAGCATAGTTAAGACTATGGGTCTATGATGCAATAGAGTTGGGCAAACCCCATCTCTGTCACTTAGTAGCTGTATGATGTTAAGCAATTAATTTCTTTGATTCTCCATTAATCATCTTTAATATGGATATAACRTTTCCATCCCCTTCCCACAGATTTATTGACATTAAGCAATAAGATGTATTCTTCATACATTAGTAAAATATATGGTATACAGTAAGATCTGATGAAGTGTAGCTATTATTTCCTAGGACTATCAATGAAATGCCTTCTATAATTTGCTAAAGTGTTTATATTTTTGGTAAGATCTTCATAAACAATGTAATCAGTAAGYACCACATTAAATTGATGTTTATGCCAAATAATACTGAACTGCATGGATCAGAAGTTTGTGAAAGTGTAAAGAGCAAGTTTCAGGAACAATATATGAAATAACAATGTACTAGAGATGTATAGAATAAATGACAGGTGATAATATAAAGGGGGCTGAATTGAATTGCACTGATTGTTTGGTTTGAGAAAGAAGGAACTAGGGTAATTCTGGTTTAGGCCTGGTTGAATGGGTAGTATTAATATCCAAGGAAATGAATCTAAGAGTAAGCAGATTTAGGGAAAATATTATTTTTGAGGTATGTGATTTAGATGCCTTTGGAAGAGCCAGGTGAAAGCATGTGACAAGCACCTAAAAGAAAGCCCAGTGCCTAGAAGTTGCTCAAAAATATTAGGTGAATAAATAAGAGAGTAAACATGGGAGTCAAATATCAATAAATTAAGGTATGAAATTTAATGATGTTCCTTAAGAAGGAGAAGAAATCCAGGGAATAGGCCTATTGAGATCTGCTAACATATAAGCACTCATAAAAATAAGGTATCTCAGAGGAGAGATGGAGAAGAAATGTCAAAGAAAGGGAAATAAATCAAGGTAGAGTTTTGCAAGGGCAAGGAATTATTCCAGTTATTGTTCCAAGCTGTCTTCTACAATGTAAATATTCACAGAGTGGACAAATAAGATGTACTATGAAAGGAATCCACATTTGATGATGAGATTAATCATTTTTCACCTTTTTAAAAGTTCCTTCAGTGGAGGKAGGGGCAATCAATGACTTGAAAATAATTGGAGATTAGGATTTGAATGTAGCAAATGGTGATTGAATGTAATGAGGTGTTCAATGAACATAGTTGTCAAGAGATGGGGAGATGGGGTGGGGAGAAGATTGAAATAGGGTTCTTCTACTTGACTATATGAATGCATGAGCAGAAGCAAAAAGGAAAACTACAGGATAGAATAGCTTGTCCAGTAGAGAATTGAAGAGATTGGAAGGGGTCATCTAAAGAGCATGTGCAATGGAATTAATCTTGAATAATAGGAAGGCCAGGTTTCTGGCTGTTTTTGGTAGAAAAAGGATGAGATGAGTCAGAAAGTTGAGAGGGTCCATATTTACTAGCTTCATTGCGCAGAGGAGATTAAGTTTCTGTTGAGTACAAAATGGATTATAGTGAGAAGGGGACTTGAAGAGACATTGGAATAGATGCTGTGGCGAATTAAACCAGAGTTGCATAGCAGTGGTTTGATGATCCTGAATTTGGAGACAGAATATTTGGTTTATTCTAGGAATGATAGATGGTTGCATTGATAAATATAAGTATAGCTGTTGGGAAAGGAATTGTGGTACTGAGGATAATGGCAGAAGTTGTGTATAATGAAAGCATCCTGGGTTTGGGTTAGGGAAGGAACAAGTCATAGGAGGAATTAAACAAGGAATAGACTAAACATCACAAATTTTGTATGGTATGAATATATAGTGGACATCACCAGGTGCTAGCAGCAGGTTGCCTGATTCCATTCTTTATCTGCTTCTGTGAATATTACAATGGGAGGGTCAGGGATCTCCTGCCAAGTTGAAAGACTTCAAAATGTGTTTAATAAAAGATGTAACTATTTTTTGTTTAAAACTCCAGCCCAATGTAGAATGTCACTTACTATGTAATTTTAAACACTCAGTTAATTCTTGTGATTTTTGGGGGGTGACAAAAACAAATAAAATCAACTTGTGGGGCTGGGATTGTAGCTCAGTGGAACAGCACTTGCCTAGCATGTGTGACGTACTGTCAGCACCACATATAAAAAAATAAAATAAAGGTTCATCGACAATTTAAAAATAAATAAAAAATAAACACATAAGCAAATAAAATCAACTTGTATCTAACTATTACATTTATATTCAATTCCAAAAGTAAAATGTTCAATTAGAGTCAACAAGAAACCCCTAATCTGAGGTCTTTCAGATTTTATTTTTTTATTCCAAAGATTTCTGAAACGGGGCTCCTGGTCTTTGAGGACAGAAATTGTTTTTCCTATACTAGGGCAGACACATAAAGATCTTTAGATTAAGGAAATTTAGGTTATAATATTGTAGTTTATAATGACAATGCACATACAGTCTTAATAGGCAAATTGAGCTAAATATGTGTCTTTCAAAAAACAATTAGCTTCAGTTACATTAGAGGCAATTTCAAAGCTAAACTAGCATGACATTTCATGAATCATTCCTATCTTTATATAAGTTGACCCCTACATACAAAAATGAAGTCTTTTAGAATAAATTTATAACTAYATATACTGATAAGTTGAGAAATTTTTAAATGTCACAAAATTGTCATAAGCAATAATTTTATTGGAATTGCTTTTCACAAGAGAGTGCTTCTCTTTATTACTTCTGAAGAATTTGTTTTTTGGATACACTCTGTGTTGATTTCTGTGAAAAGTAATAATGCTATTTATTTGAAAGGTCCATTTTTTTCCTTGAGAATAAACTGATTCTTCTTATTCTTTTGTCTAATATACAAGCATTGTAGGTATAAATCAAGTTACAAATTAAGTTAGATAACAGATTGATTCTGACAATTGTGTTCAAATGAAGTAGCCTGGATCCAGTAAGATTCTATTGACTTCCAGAAATGGCACTTGGGATAAACTTGTGGTACTAATGTGATGGTTACGGCTGGRTATTTGTACTCAGCTGTGGTACTAGGATAAATATAAATTGGTAAGATTGGATAAATAACATTGTTCAGATGTTCTGAATGATGGCATATCTAATGTAATTGTATTTGCTAGTTTCTATGTGTTGAAGCAAAAAATGATTTTGAACCATATATAATTTTGATAGTGGAATTCAATTCATTTACTTCTATAATATGCTACAGATTATAAATTTTCATTACAATGATCCAATCACTTGAGGAAAGAATGCATTTTAAATCAGTTTTCATGCCAAATATATCATTTGTGGAGCTATGCTGCTTAAATTTTGACAAACCGATTTCCTTACTAAATTTGAAAATAAAATGAAAGCATTAAAGCCATCTTTATTAGCATCATGATATAGTAATACATATATTCCTGTAATAAATATTAAGAGCTACTAATAGAACAGCTTTTAAAGTGGGAGAATTCTCATACAGACTTATGGTAAATTGTTAAGATATGATTTTGAAGGCCTGGGTATTGAAATATGACTTAAACATTTAAGAACCCTATCAGCCCCTCTAGGTAGATAATAAATATCCCCTTTAGATAGTCCAATGAGATGTTGTGGGCTCTAAAGCCCAGGCAAAATGGGCTATATTTATTACAAGATTGTGAAAGACTATGTGATCACTCGCTAATTGATTACTACAACTTCCTTATGAGTTAAAAGGCTGATTTTACTTATTGTTCTTTTTGTATYTGGTCACTGTTCAAGAGGCTAACACTTGAATCAATCTCTTTTGGACCCAGTAGCTATATAACTCAATTGTATGATTCTGAGTTGATGTATAATACTTAGAAATTCATTGATATTCTACTTTAAAAGATAACTCATTTTATCAAAGGTTTTATTCCTATCCTGATGCACTTATCTCTTACTTCTTAATTTTAAGTTTAACTTTGTGGCTTGCCAGTGTTTCTGATTTCTGTCAGGCAGAATCATAGAATCATGATTAGAAATAATCTTTAAAGTTTCAGGTTCTGACACTAAGCATGAG